TTTAATTCTAAATGAAGACACAAGCTGTTTCTTCCTCCAAAACAGAGAGCTGGTTTCCAGCTACTTAAAACACTAGCAAGTGCCCTACTGCCTAGAGTCACTGCCACTTCTAAAAGCATTATTACTGCCACCTAGCATTCAATTCCAGCTCACCACTCACACACTCAGGTGCTATAAAAGAACAAAACTGGCAATGTTTACTGAGAAATCCAGTTTAGGATTGACAATTTCACAGTAGATTCTGTAGAGGGAAACCAAATACTTTAATTCTGAAAGCAGATTAAAATATCAGACTCAATTAAAATAATAAAAGCACTCTATCCCAGTGCATGCTTCATTAGCATCACCATTTCCACATCTTTCTGTTCATAATTCCATTTCTAAGTTTATGATCCCATTCTTTAAGTTTGGAAGTTGAGAGAAGTGACAAGTCAGCTTGCTGCATTTAAAAAAAGAAAAAAGCTGCTTGTGCAGTGGAAGAGTGACGATCAGCTCTGAGTAGAAACATCTTCAGACATAGAGCTCGATACTTCTGACAAAATCTGCCTGGGACTAAAACCAGGCAAATTCTGACAGACAAATGAAGACCAGTGGTTCTTCCTCTGTGAGACTGATGCCAAAATTTACTAGATTTACTTGACCAGTATATTCTCCACACTTATTCTGGGCAAGAATCCCAGAACGATACAACCCAAAAGAATGTGGTGACAGATCTACTTTGGGGAATACTCTGCAATTTGAAACAAGCCCCTAGAAGCACAGAAGTTGTCCTTACGAGACTGCATGCTTGAATGCATCATAAGCACCATATCCAGGTCTTTTGTACTTGTCATCAAACACCCAGGCAGTTCTCTGGAACAGGCTCTCAAGCTGCTCATCCTTAGTGTACTCCAAGACTTCAGCAACGTGGCGAAGGATGCTGTAAACCTACAACACAGGAGTGGTAAAAACCCCAAACCAAATACTGAAAGCAGACAAAATTTCTGTTTGGAAGTGTTAAGACCACACAGCAGATGGGAGCCTGAAACCACCTGCACATCTTTTCAATAAAAAAATTGCCCACAGTGGGCTAAACCAGCACATAATTTTGGATTTCTGACCATTTAAATATACCCATTTACATCGTAAGTTCTCAGTTGACATCTTTCTTGATCTATTCATTATTTAATAAGCAGTTTACCTTGTAACACTCACAGACACATGAACTGGTTATGTATCTTTGCACGGGTAAACAAGAATCACAGTCTGCCTAACACATGAATGCTTTACTTTCATCCTATGTCTGCATATTTTGGCTGCTCAAAAAAGAAGCTGGAAATACACAGGGCCTAAATATAGAAAGGCAACTTACAGTCTTTGATTTTGTGAATTTGTCTTCACATTTGATTGCCTCCTCTGGAGAAACTCTTCTTTTTGACAAATCAATATAACCTATTGGGGAAGATGATTTTCAAGTGTCAGCCATTGTGCAATCCGACTCCATCAAGAGAAACTCCTGAAGAACGCTTTGGCTCAGGATTTGCCCCCTGCCTACAATATCCCCACTACGGAGAGAAACAAGACCAAACCTTGATGAATTTAAGCAAATTATGATCTAAATTAGGATAAAAAAATCTTTCAAATGTAAATACTTACAGTAGCAAATTTTTTGAACATCATTCTTTTCGATTACTGCCTGAGTATTTTCTCTGCAAATTTTCAAGAATTTTTCCTAATCTCTCAGCAACTAGTGATCTATTTTTACATTTCTGTACAGTTACAGGGAAATAAAAAAAATCACTCCTGCATATAAAGAAGCAAATTTCATGCACATTTTTGTAGTGCTCAACACAATTTAATTCAAGGTTGGCATCCCATCACTTTAGCTCTCAACAGTTTCTTAATAAAACAGACTCAGCATAACAAAAATGTCCATGAAAAAATTTCTTTTGAACTCTCTTCTAAATTTTAAGAGGCCTCCACCTATTTCTCACAGACTATAGTTTCTCCAGTAAGTTCAATAAAAATTCAACAAAAATTCACTAGATGAATTCCAGATGTGTCTTTCTGTTAATGTGAAAACAAAATCAATTTGTAAAAGTGTAATTTGAGATGCTGAGAAACTTAGTTCACTTCAGATTTATCTGAAATAAGTTTATTCTTGTCCTCGTTTGTCTTTGCTTTTTCTCATCCTGTCATT